CTCTACTCAGCAGGCCCTTCGTTCTTTAGCTCTCAGGCAAAGTTCAGCTGCTGGCCCTATGCCCACTCTGCTCTGTGATTTTCTGCCCCTCGCCCACCCAGGCCCGATAGCCTAGGCTCTGGCTCCAACTGCAACCTGTCTTTTCTCTTCCTCATCCCATGCCTGAGTTTAGAAGGGGAAGGGAGATGCCCCTCAAGCTGTCCCCACTCACCAGCTTCCCCACCCCCAATACTCTCTTTACATTCCCTGTACCCAAATCCACACCCCTTTTTTTTGAGTTCAAATCCCTCCTCTGCACTTGCATGGTGTGTGACCTTGGGCAAGTTACTTAGCCTCTCTGGGCTTGAGTTATCTCATCTGCAACATGGAGACAATGAGCCTGGTGCTATCCTCCCCAGAGAAAATGATAAAGGCCTAGCACACAGTATGAATTTTGGGCATGTTTTATATTATGTATAACATAAATATCCAGGAGTGTTGGAGGTGTGTGCTCAAAAATGATGGAGAGTGATCCCCCAAAACTTTTGAGACACTATGTGTAGTTAAATTCACAAACTTTGGCATCAGAGAAACACGGGTTCAAATTATAGTTTTTGCTGTGTGGCCTTAGGTAAGTCACTTACCCTCTCAGAGCCTCAGTTTATTAGGAAAATGGTGATGTTAATGAAACCCACCTCAAAAGACTGGCATATGGATAAAATGAGATTATTTATGTAAAGAGCTTAACACTGTTCCTGGCCCACTATAAGTATTAGCTATAACAATAATCATTGTCTCTGCTATTTGATTTTTGGGGCACTGGTGTGTAAGGAGGATGCTTGGGAAGTAGCTGTTGCTGTAGTCATCTCTGTCTATGACAGATCTTAGCTTGGTGGGAAAGACCCGTCTGTGGATGGTGGTGAGGATCACTTTAACCCCAGGGATGCAGGCCCTACCTGCATAGATCAGACTGACAGCACTCAATTCTAAATTGGTTCAATCATCTACTTTATTACCCTCCATCCCAAGGCAGTCTTCAAGCCCTCAAGGGAGAAAAAAAGGCAAAGCAAAAATATGTGCAGACTCACTAGGAACCAGATAAAGCACAGCGAAACCAAAATGAAGTGCCATTTTATACCCAACTATCTGACAATGCCAAGGGTTGGCAAGGATTTGGAGTGAGGGAAATCTCGTGCACTGTTGGGAATGTAAATTGGCCCAAACATCTTGCAAAACATTTTGGCAATTTTTAGTAAAGTTGAAGATGAATATACCTATGACTCAGCAATTCTACTCCCATGTTTGCACCTACAAAAACTCTCCCACGTATGTACAAGAAAACACATACAAGAAAGTCATACCAGCACTTTGTAATAGCAAAAAAACTGGGGGGAAAAAAAACCCTTAACAGAAGAATGGATAAATAAATTGCGGTATATTCATAAGATGGCATTATAAAGCAGGGGAAATAAATGGACCTGCATATAATAATATGGATCAATCTTATTAATATGTTAGGTGAAAAAAGTAAGTTACAGAAGCATACATGCACTTCAGTATTATTTATACAAAGCTCAAATATGCAAACCACCATTACATATTGCTTAAGAATATATGCATATGTAGTAGAGTATCCAGAAATGAGGAAATGAGAAATAGCGAATTCTTTTTTTTTTTTAAGATTTAATTTATTTGAGAGAGAGAGCATGAGTAGGGGGCAGGGGGCAGGGGGAGAAGCAGACCCGCGGGATCATGACCTGAGCCAAAGGCAGATGCTTAACCGACTGAGCCACCCAGACATGCGGAGAAATGGTGAATTCTGATTAGTGGTTACTTTGGTGATGGGGCAGGGAAAGAAAGGCACAGTCAGGGAGTATAAGGGTCTTCGATTATATTGGTAACAATTTATTTCTTCTGCTGGGTAGTGAGGACAAGTATGTTTGTAATAAAATTCTTCAGGCGTGAAAAATTCTTCAAATATGGAATATTTCATAATAATTTTTTATGAAAGCCAAAACAGTATAACTCACAGTGATTTAAGACCGTCCACTTTTCCTGAGTCGCAGTCCAGGAAAACAAGGCCCCCATTTTCCTTCTGACTAGACCATTTTGGCAAGCTGGAAAAATATTTGGTTATTTCTAAACTCGCCTACCATGACTGAGAGGTGAGCATGGACACTCTTGCATATATATATTCAGAGAATGGGAGCCTAGTATGTATCCAAGTTTTGCCCTGATTCCACTATGATGTCAACTCTCCCTCCAAGGAACAGTATATAAAATAAAGAAGTTAAAACCCCCACCTCAGCCCTTTATCTAATCCCACTTCCCAGAGCTAATCTCTATTGACAGCCACCGCCTGGTATTCTTCCTATGTATATACCAATACACAGACAGAAGTAAAATTTTAAACTAAAACTAGATGGAATTATCCCGTATGTATTGGTCCACACTTCGTTCTCACTTCTCAATGTCTCATGTCAGTACATCAACTCATATGATCTGCCACCTTCTTCCACCATAATTTATTACTTAACCTTTTATTTTTATTTTACTTTTATTTTTTTTTAAGATTTTATTTATTTATTTGACAGAGAGAGAAAGAGTGAGCACACAGGCAAGGGGGAGCAGCAAAGGGAGAGGGAGAAGCAGGCTTTCCGCTGAGCAGGGAGCCCGATGCGGGACTCCATCCCAGGACCCTGGGATCATGACCCGAGCTGAAGGCAGACGCTTAACCAACTGAGCCACCCCTTAACCTTTTATTTTTAATTCTACACAAGATATATCATCACATTTTAGGAGGAAAATTTTCAAACAATACAGATAGAGTGATAAAACCCTTTACAAAATAGACGGAAAAGGCCTTCCACAAGATTGCCAGCCCAACACACACACACAAACACACACACATACCACACACACATACATATTCACACACACATGCATACTTGCATTCACACACACTCATCCTAACACATACACACACATATACTTTTAATCTCGGGTTCCACCCTGATAATAAATCACTGGAGATAAAGCACTGTTATATTTGATGTACATCCTTCCAGATTCCTTTACTCCCATGAAGAAATAGGTTGTTTAGCTTTTGGCTTTTGGCTCGGGGAGGCAAAGGTGCAACTTTCTTTGGTCGTCCCGAATCCGGGTTCATCCGACACCAGCCACCTCCGCCATGCCGCCTAAGTTCGACCCCAAGGAGATCAAAGTCATGTACCTGAGGTGCACTGGTGGCGAAGTCGGTGCCACATCTGCCCTGCCCTGAAGATCGGCCCGCTGGGTCCGTCTCCAAAAAAGGCTGGTGATGACATCACCAAGGCAACCGGTGATTGGAAGGGTCTAAGGATGACGGTGAAACTGACCATTCAGAACAGACAGGCCCAGATTGAAGTGGTACCTTCTGCCTCTGCCCTGATTATCAAAGCCCTCAAGGAACCACCAAGAGACAGAAAGAAGCAGAAAAACATTAAGCACAGTGGAAATATCACTTTTGATGAGACTGTCAATATTGCCCGACAGAGGCGACACCGATCTTTAGCCAGAGAACTCTCTGGAACCATTAAAGAAATCCCGGGGACGGCCCAGTCTGTGGGCTGCAATGTAGATGGCCGCCACCCTTGTGACATCATAGATGACATCATAGATAACATCAACAGTGGGGCAGTGGAATGCCCAGCGAGCTAACTACAAAGCAAAATGTTTCAATAAAGGATCATTTGACAACCAGTGGGAAAAAAAAAAGAAAAGAAATAGGTTGTTTAGCGGTCATGTGTGTGGTTGACACATAAATGGTTCTAAACCTAATGTCCTGCAACTTACTCTTAGAGATTATACATACCTTAACTATGTCAGTCATCTGTTAGCTGATATTATTTATTGTATTACTTATTATGTGCACTATTCCAAGCAAGGTAGCAAACAAGATGGACAACCTCTTGGGGCTCACATTCTGGTGGGACATTCAGACAATAAACATATAAATGAATAAGTCATATAATTTCAGGTAGTATTAAGTAATAGAAAAATAGAGTGGAGATTAGGCAGGGGAGGTTTGTTTTGTTTTGTTTTTTGTTTTGTTTTTTACAACTACATAGTATTCCACAAGACGGATTACCATAGTTTGGGGGAGTGAATTCCAAATTTTTCCACTTGCTTCCCAGAGGAAGAAATACATTTTAAACTGCCATTCAAAACCCATCACAGAGGGGCCCCTGGGTGGCTCAGTTGGTTAAGCGACTGCCTTCGGCTCAGGTCATGATCCTGGAGTCCCGGGATCGAGTCCCGGGATCGAGTCCCGCATCGGGCTCCCTGCTCAGCAGGGAGTCTGCTTCTCCCTCTGACCCTCTTCCTTCTCGTGCTTTCTATCTCTCATTCTCTCTCTCTCTCAAATATCTCTCCCAAATAAATAAATAAAATCTTTAAAAAAAAAAACCCATCACAGAAACATATATGCATAAAACTGAAACATGCATGTATACGATTGAACAAATATTTCATGAAATAATGCTTACTCTGACCCAAAAGGAGGCACTGGAATTTTTTATTTTGTTCTATTTCATAAAAACAAACAAAAACAAAAACAAAACCCCTGCTAATCATGACCTGCTAAACTGTTTTCATTATCCAGTAGTAGATTATGACCTCAGTTTGAAAAATATTGCTTTAAGTCACCAATAGACCGTTCATAATTCTCTCCTATTACAAACAGCACCGCAGTGAGCTGTTTTACACTCATTTTGTAACTATGTATTTCTGAGAGCAAGATCCCTGATTGTGTAATTACTATAATTCTGATAAAATGTAGCCAGCATGCTGGAAAACTGAACTCTAATCCCCTTCTGTTACCACCATGACATATAAACTGACATATAAACTTCCGTTGGGCAAGTCCCTGGGCCTCTCTGGGCCTCAGTTTCCCCATCAGTAACCTGCCGATCGCTACACCCTAGAGTGTGCTCTAAGTTGAAAGCAGATGCCCCACCCCCTGACTCAGCGAGCATAGAACTTCTCTCTGAATCTGACTCCCCCTTTTTCCACTCCCTGTTTGGAAGAGGCCCAGGGAAAAGGGAAAAGGCAGGTCTGGGCACGAGGGCCCGAAGCAGGCAGGGCGGGGCAAGGGAAGGGCAAGAGGGAGGCCAGCCCCCAGTAGGAAATGAGACAGGGTAGGAATAACACTTTATAAGCCTGCCGCCTTCTTCCTCCTCCTGTCCCCTGGCCACCTTCCAGCCTCCTCCGTTCAACCTCCTCCCCTTCCAGACAGTCCTCACTTCTTTCCCCCTAGGCTGCAGCCAGCCGGAGCCCCCTGCCTGTCTGAGCCAGGAGCCCAGGTGGGGTAAGAACCTCAGCCCCAGGATGTTGACAACGTTCCTGCTACTTCTGCGTCTGCTGCTCCTGCCCGGCTGGGCCTTTTGTAGCCAGGAAGCCTCCGATGGTGAGTCCGGGGCACATCTTCTTTCTCGGGATGGTTCTGGAGACTCTCAGCCTGTCTGGGTACATGGGGAAGAGCAGAGGAGCCCTTCTCCCACAGTGCCTGCGGCTGCAGCCAGCCAGATCTCTCCATAGGACAGGCAGGGTCCTGGGGACGGATTTGTGTCCCAAAGCCAAGGTGAGGAAGTGCAGTTCACCCAGGGAAGGGGGTGATGAAAGAGGCTGGGGGAATAGGACTGGAGAAATGGAAAGGGATGGGTAGAAAGGGTAAGGGGATCAGACGTGGGGAGAGGGGGTGAGTCAGGAGAGGGAGCGCTGAGAGTGATGTGGATAGGGGAGACAGGAAGAGACTTGGGGAAGAGATGAGAGATGGAAGGAATAGGAAGCCACTGGAGAGACTGGGGGCTGAGAGAAGCAAGGCAGAACAGAGCCTGGAGAAGGTGGAAGATGAGCGGCAGGAGGCGGGGGAAAGTCTGGGGAAAGAGAAGCTGTGGTCCATGGGTGAACTTACAGGGGTCAGGCTGCCTGAAGTGGCTGTTTAAGCAGAGAAAGGAGTTATTGCCCTGTATCGTGACCGTACAGGGACCTCCTCCCCCCTTTCCCACAAGCTCCAGAGCTACAGTCCCCACCTCAGAGAGGGAGCAAATCACCAGAATTCTAGGAGCACTCACTTTGGTTAATACATGCACTGACTCATCTAACCCCCATGATATCTCTATGGCGGGCAATATGGTTATCTCTATTTTACAGGGGAGGAGACTGGGCACAGGGCAGTTAAGAACCTTATCTAGTGTTACCCACACAGATCTACCTATTCACACCTGCAGACAGAGCACAACGTAGACACACACACACACACACACACACACACACACACACACACACACATGATTGACAACCCCAGACTCATCCCCTCCTCAAACATTCTCTGGACATCAACTCAATCCTGGGCTAGGCCCTTAATAGGTGTAGAAGGAAGAGATAACCAGACTTGATTCCATAGCCTAGGGGAGCCCAGTGTAGTCTGTGTATTTGGAGACAGTTATGTGGAATCTGAGATCATTGAAACAGACTCACTGTGTCTGGGAGGGTATGTATGTATTTATTTATAGATTTTATTTACGAGAGAGCATGAGCAGGGGGAAGGGACAAAGGAAGAGGGAGAAGCAGACTCCCTGCTGAGCAGGGAGCCTGATGTAGGCTCAATCCCAGGACTATGAGACCATGACCTGAAACAAAGGCAGATGCTTAACCCTCTGTGCCACCCAGGCATTGCTGTGTCTAGGAGGGTAAAGAGGAGAGGCATTAGGAAACTTCTCCAAGGAGAGGGCAACAGAGCTGGGTCTTAAAGCACGAATAGAAGTTTGCCTGGAGGCAGAGCAACCTGGACATGCTATTCACATCAGTCCAGAGGCAGCATGAGGAACTCCAAGTAGTTTACTGTATCTAAGTACAGGAAGAGGCCAGGGAAGGCAGTTGGGATCTGGTCTCCTGCAGCCTTGAATGCCAAGCTAAAGGCTTCAGACTTCATTCCTTGGACAGACATCCTATGGGGAGACAGTACAGCTGAGTGGCTAAAAGTGCTGGACTCACACTGCCTGCACTCAAACCTTGGATCTGCTATACCATTTTAGCCTGCTTCCCTTATGGACTGAGGTTAATAACAGTAGCCACTGCACTAAGCTAATGGGAGGAAAGCACAAATAAGATAATAATGTGTGTAGGTACAGTACTTGTCTCATAATAAGTACTTAATAGCTATTATTAGTACCTAATACTATTATTGATAGGCGAATGTGTCACTGGAGCATTTTAAGTAGGAGAAGGGCATAATCTTATTTCTGGGTCAGATGGAGGTGAGATTGGAAGGAGTGAAACCGAACAGTGAGGGCAGGGGGATGAAGAAGGAAGTTACTACCCAGGTCCAGATGAGAACCCATGAGGCCTGAAGTAGGGCAGTGGCCGAGGAGGCCGAGAACAGGAGATGGAATGGGATTTTACTGTAGGTCAGCATTTGTTGACCAACCGGAAATGGGGGTAGTTAGGGGTGAGAGAGAGAAAGATCGGAGTGCCTCTTCCACTGACTGGATTACCCTGGGGCAAGTGGCTTCTGCTCTTCCCAGCCTCAGTTTCCTTATCTGTAAGACGAAGATTAATAATCCCTGTCCTCCGCTCCTGACAGGGTTGTGGGAGGATGGGTGGAAGAACACTTTATAACTATGAACGGCCGAGAAGGTGGGCGGCCAGCCTTTGGGTAGGGGGTTATTATCTCCAGCTTCACGCCAGCCCAAGGGCTGACGCGCTGACACCTACCCGCAGGCCCTCGGAACCTCCACATGCTCCAGATCTCCTACTTCCGTGACCCCTATCAAGTGTGGCACCGGGGCAACGCGTCGCTGGGGGGACTAAGGACGCACGTGCTGGAAGGCCAGGGCACCAACGTCACAATCCTCCAGCTGCAGCCCTTGGAGGCGCCCGAGAGCTGGGTACACACAGAGGACCGTCTGAAGACCTACCTGAACGAGTTCCAAATGATGGTGCGGCTTGTGCACCATGAGCGGCGCTTGACCTGTGAGTGGCGCTCGCGCGCGGCGGGTGCAGCCTGGGCGCAGCGGGTGAAGGCGGACCCTGGCGGGTGGGAGGTGTGGCCTGTGGGAGGGACTGATGGGGGCGGGCCTGGGGGGGAATGGGCGGGGCCCCAGGAAGGGGCGGGGTTCCCGGAGGGGCCTCGTGGATGGCTCGGTCTCGTGTGAGCTGGCTGCTCCGAGGACCCCAGGTGTCACGGCACCTGCCTTTGCTGATTGCTGGGTGGGAGCTTGAGCCTGAAGAGGAGTGGGCGTCCTAGTTGCGGGCCCTCCGTCAGGCCCTCTTCCCACTGGCTTGACCTCGGGGTAGACCCTGTTGGGAGGCCCTGTCCCTGATCCCCCCTAAACCCCAAAAGTTTATGTTCCACCTGATGGACATCCTCCCACACCTGGCACCCTCTCCACACAGCTCTCTCACCCTGAATCCCCCATCCACAGTTCCTCTGACCGTTCGCTGTTTCCTGGGCTGTGAGCTGCCTCCTGAGGGCTCTCCAGCCCAAGTCTTCTTCGAAGTGACTGTGAATGGGAGTTCCTTTGTGAATTTCCAGCCAGAGACAGCCTTATGGGTAGCAGGGCCCCAGGCACCCTCCAAGGTGGTCACCTACACTCTTCATCAGCTCAACTCCTACAATCGTACTCGGTACGAACTGCGAGAATTCCTGCAGGACACCTGTGTGCAGTACCTGCAGGAATATATCACTTCGAAAAACTCAAAAGGTATGATGGGATCGGGCATGGGCCTGTGTATTGGGTGGGTTCCAGGCAAATGGATAGACCTGAAGGATGAATACCTTGAGCAACAGGAGGCCCAGGGCTGGGAGTTTGGGACAGAGTATACACAGCTTATGTCACTTGGTGAACTAGCTCCCTTCCTTTGGGGTAAGAATTCCTTAGGGTTTGACTCAAACCATGGACAAGAATCTTGGGGGTATGTTCTTCAGGCTAACTCTGTGCATGTTCTGCAGGGAGCCAAACAGGCCGCTCCTACACTTCACTGGTCCTGGGTGTCCTGGTGGGCAGTTTCATCATCGCTGGTGTGGCTGTAGGCATCTTCCTGTGCACAGGTGGACGGCGGTGTTGATTACTCTCCAGCCCCCCTCTGAAAAAGGGCTGGACTGACAGGGGCTGGCAAGGGAAGATCTCAGCTCATGACAAAACCGAACAGATTCCCCATCTGGGATATTATATCCCAGAAGGTTTGGCATGGCAGCTCCTTTTCCCTGCTCGGCCCACCAAGAGTTTGGGGGAGGGGAAGGGAAGGGAAGGGAGGAAGCTAGGTAGACAGAGTTCTTGGTTTGCTGAGCACCTAAGAACTTGCATGCTTTGGCTGAACTGGTCTGAGAAGCGAATGCTTATCTATCTTTGTGGAAAACAGATGATGGAGTTGGGTGGGGGTGGGGGATGTCTATGATACAGCCTTCATAGACAGAATTACCTGAGGCATTCAAAACACCTAACAAATATGAGAAGTCCATCCACAACCAAAATAAACAACATTCAGTGCTTCCAGGCACATCAGACTTGGGATGGGACGCTGGTAATAATAGAGGTAGACAGAAATAACCAGAGAAATGGTGAAAGTGTAAAATATAAGTAATATGGGAGCAAAGAGTTATTAACTACTTAATAATATTATTAATAAATTCATTACTTATGTATATGGCATTTTTTTTTCCCTTTACTTTGCAAAACTTCTGGGAAAGTAGCCTATACCTTTTTCTTCTACTTCCTCATCTCCCACTCACTCCTAAACCACTGCAGCCTGACTTCCCTCTAAACTTCTTTAAGACCATCAATGACCTCTAACTGTAAACTCTTCATCCCACATGATATCTGCAACATTTTCCTTTGTGGACTAGAACCCTCTTTTTACCCTGACTTCTGAGATACCATACTTCTAATTTTTAGAAACTGTTCTGGCCACTCAGTCAATCCCTTTGCTTTTGTCATCTTACTCAATTCACCTTGGAAATGTGGCTTCCTTAGAATTCCATTTTTTGGCTCTTTTTGTTCTCAATTGAACTGTATCCTTTGTGGATGACCTACTAATTCTCACAGCTTCAAATGCCATCTATCTGCGGTGTTTTCCATGGGGAAGCAATATAATCTTGCCTTTGAAAGCAGGTGTTTTATCATCAAACAGACTTGAGTTTTACTTCTTTCAGCCAGGCATTTAACTTCTTCAAGTCTCAGTTTCTTCATAAACAAAGGGTATAATAAAATGTACCAAAAGGTTGTAATAAAAATAATACCTGCCTCTACCTCATAGAGGCATTACAAGTATGAAATAAGAATATACATATAATATAATATACATATATTCAATAAATATAGCACTTGCTGCTGACCTCCAGACCCCCCATTTACATTGATTCTTGAAAATCATCTCCACCTTAATATTTTTCAGACATTTCTAAGTCAACATGTTCCAAATTAAATTCCTTATCTTTCTCCCCAAACCTTTTCTCTCTCCTCTGTTGTTTACTATCAGTTAAACAGAATTACTATCAAATCATATCAGTGTAGAGACCTCAGTGTTAACCTTTATTTACTCCCTTTTCATCCCCACCTACAAAATATAGTATCTGTAGAATCTAATCCCCCTTTTCCACTCTCTTGCTTTTTTTCAAGATATGGTCACTCATCCCTCTGTCTGTGGCAGGCACGGAGGTGTGCCACCCAGTTCTACCTTCAAGGAAAGACTAGCCATTTAGCTACAGGGAGTTGAGGCAGCAGATAGCTAGCCTCTAGCTGCTTCAGTTCCTTCAGTATCTGCCTCACCTGCAGAGAATAGTCCTGCAGGAGGTCATGTTCCTCCTGGGGCTGTCCTCATCTGGTGACTGAGCAAAGCAAAGGTGTAAAGATTCAGCCATTCTGGGCCACTGCAGGACAATTCTGATAAGCAGTATTCACTCCAGAGTTCCTTGCCTGGGGGGCTGGGTCTCTGTCAGATCGACGTTGCAATTTGACTTCTCCCTCCATTCAATCGTGCTTCTTTTCCCTAGTTAATATCTTCCACCTCAAACTGTCTCAGCATCGGCTTCCGGAAAACCCAACCTATGACTGACAATCTTTCTTTCTTTTTCTCTTTTCTTTTCTTTCTTTCTTCCTTCCTTCCTTTTTTTCTTTTTTCCTTTTTTCTTTCTTTCTTTCTCTCTTTCTCTTTCTTTCTCTCTCTCTCTCTCTCTCTTTCTTTCTTTCTTTCTTTCTTTCTTTCTTTCTTTCTTTCTTTCTTTTCTTTTTTTCTTTCTTTCT